GAGGAAGGGAAGATCGCCGGGGAAGAAGACGATACGACATCGTCTCTTCTTTGAAGGGAGGTGTTGTCGAACAACCTCACCCGCTTGAGCATTCTTGGACCTTCTGGTTCGATAAGCCTCAAGCCAAATCGAAGCAAGCTACTTGGGGTAGTTCTATTCGCCCCATCTACACTTTCTCTACCATCGAACAATTCTGGAGGTTATTTTCTGTTTTTTTATATGTAGGCTGTGGATTTTATCGTTTATCTTGAGTTTTTAGATTCTGAATTTTTGATGATATATAAGATTTTGGATTATTGTTCTGAAAATGAGTTTATTTATTTTCATCCTTTGATTACTGTTTGGGGTTAGAGATATAGGAAATGACCTCGAATCATAGTACCAGAGTGTGATTGTGTTGTTGTGGTTGCGAATGTTGCGGACTTTATGGAACGTAAGACGGTTGTTGCATACGAGAATTGTTTCTTAAAGCTCACAATGTTTTTTTATGCCATTGTAGTGTTGTGATGACCTTGAAAACCGTTATGATGCTTTTTTTATGTTGCATTGCAGCCGCAATTTGGTACTATGCCTCCAATGATACTTCAAATACATGGGAAACCGTAGAGAAGTATAACCATATCCATGTCGAATACATTCTCGCATCTGACACACACACACACGACTAAGTTAAAGTAAAACAGTTGGTGTTTGTAATCTTGTGATTATACACGAACATATATATATGATGGTGATGATGAGTGTAAATCGGATTTGCTTTAACTGTTATAGTGGAAGAATGTGTACTTCATGGATCTTGGAGCTGCCTACTGCAGAGTGATGCTTCCTAGAATCTTGTTTCGTCTTAATTGGATGTTTTCAAACTGTTATTTACTTTCTTTATAATCAATGTCGTAGAAAGCTCTTTTATTGATTTAATCTTTGTTTATTAAAAATTTTGGATTGTTGCTTGACGCCTTAGGTGAATAAATTATGTAATAATAGAAAAAACAACTATTCTGACCGTCTCTATTAGGGGTGTGCAAATCTGGGTACTCGGATTTTCGGGTACCTGATTTCCGGGTAACCGGAACTTCCGGGTCAACGATTTCTCGGCCTGTGTCCCGACCCGGATGTTACGGGTATCCGATAATCGGGTACCCGGATTTTGTGGGTACCCGGTAATCGGGTACCCGATATCCGGTTTTTAATTTTTTATTTTCAAATTATTAATTTAAAAAAATATATACACAAATTTAAATGTTCAAAACTTCGAATTACATACTCTAATATCCGAACATAAAATTTAAAAGTTCAAAATACAAAATATAATAATCCATAATATAAATAATTCATTATATTTTATATAATTATATATAAAAAAATAAAAAAAATAAAAACTAAACGGGTACTCGGGTAACCGGGTACCCGGAAAAACTAGATTTTGTGACCCGGGCCCGACCCGGGAAATGTCGGGCCGGGTACCCGACCCGGCCGGGTAATTTTTTTTAAAGAATTATCCCCTTTTTTTAGATCCAGGTCGGCGGGTCGGGTAATTTTGCACACCCCTAGTCTCTATATCACTGCCTTTGATTACTAATTTCATGTGTCACTTCTTTTTGTTTCTCTTTGTTAGTTAATATCATTTGCCTGATTACAGTCTTTACAACAACATACATCACCCGAGCAAGTTAGCCGTGGGAGCGGACTTTCATTGTTTCAAACATAAAATCGAGCCAAAGTGGGAAGACCCTGTCTGTGCTAATGGAGGCAAATGGACTGTAACCTTCCAAAAGGGGAAGTCAGATACATCTTGGTTGTACACGGTATTATTTCAGATGACATAATGCATTTGCTTGTTTATGAAAACTCAATGCTTAAGTGAAAAATGCGGCCTTATCTCTTATTTATTTTTGCTATACTAGTTGCTGGCATTGATAGGAGAACAGTTCGAGTATGGTGATGAGATCTGCGGAGCAGTTGTCAGTGTGAGAGGCAAGCAGGAAAGGATAGCACTGTGGACCAAGAATGCTGCCAATGAAACAGCACAGGTGAATGGAGTTGCTTTGTTACGGAAAATGACTCGTGCAATTCCATAACTGTTCTCATGGGGTATTTTGTTTTTAGTGGCTTGTCAATTTCTAAAACTTTTTGTTTGTTTGATTTTTGTTGATGCAGATGAGCATCGGAAACCAGTGGAAAGAGTTACTTGATTACAACGAAACTATCGGCTTCATATTTCATGTAATGGCTTCTTTTAGATATATGCCGTTTGTTCTTTTTTGTTCATTTTATTTTATGTCTTGAGTTTTGGCCTATATAAACAAACCCCATCTATTTTCTCTTTCAGGAAGATGCGAAAAAGCACGATAGAGGTGCCAAGAATCGCTACACCGTATGAGTTTTTATAGAGTTTTTCTCTAGTACTAGATGCTGTGCACGACGCAAGATTGCTTTCAGGACTCACTGTAAGCACCTGCGGCTTTACTTTGTTGTTGCCTCAGAGTCCTCGGTTGTTTCACCTATGGCTGTATGAGATGCTTTTCGACCGGAACTTCATTTTGTTATGTTCTTGCTTAAAAGGTATCACAGGGTTTTCTTTTTCACATGACCTCAAACCGTATCGATATGGATTGTTTTGTTATTTTTTTACTTGAGTACCCGAATTTTCTTTCGGGTTTGATCACTAGTTAATTTGAGACCAAACTACATACCCTGAACATCCAATTAAATCAAACCAGTTAGACGAGTTGAACCTGTAACTAGAGGTTTTTGGGTCTTTTATGCATGAGGCCTAAGCATGAATTGTTCAATAGGTTGCATCCCAATGATATGTACATGTAGGATTAGTCCTGCAATTCTGATCCGAATCTTAAAACTTGACCCAATTTATTCGAATCTAACTCGACTATATGAAGTCGGTCATCATTTAAAGTCTTGAACTAGTAAGGATCACATCATTAGTGCCATTTCGAGTTGTTTTTGGTTCAAAACATATTAGTTATTTTCATTTCTATTTTTTTAAAATTATCGATTATTTGAATTGTTGGTCAATTTGAACCCAAATCATTAGTGTCACTTCTAACTGAATGTATTTTGAACATTAATAATTTAATTCAAACATTACTTTCAAAGCTTTACCATCAAATTTGTACAGTAAAATCTCTATAAATTAATAATATCGAAATCATATAATTTTATTAATTTAAAGTGGTATTAATTGATAAATTAATAATTTATAAATTTAAAGAGATTTTTTTTCCCGATTTAACGAACGTACATTATTTTTTATTATTATTAAGCTAAGGTGATTAAAAAGTAATATATGTTTTAAATACTCTCAACCATTTGTTCGAACTCGTGACTTCTAAGAACAACAAAGATTCGCTCGAACTCGTGACTTCTAAGAACAACAAAGATTTCTTTAACTACTGAGGAAGTTAGTTCGTATCAATGAATGTACATTATTCTTCATGAATAAAACATATATATTATATTGACTAATTGAATGATGTTTACGATCACTTATTAAATATGATACATATATCCCTAAAAAATAAAGTTTACTATAGTACGTAGTATTAGTCTTAATGCAAATTCATGTATGATAATGAAATGAACAACTACATAAACATCAAATGTTCATAATTAGTCAATCAAAATCAACCGATCATGGGTTCACATATAAAATGAGTCAAAAAATAACCATGCCTTCACATCTAAAAGGTGTCCAAAAACAACAATAGAATCATATTTTACTAATTTGTTTAATTTATATTTGTAAATTTATAGAATTATTAATTTATAATATTGAAGGGACCATAAACTTATATAAGAGTCTTATGAAAAAAATATTATCTTATCAATTTATCGAAATTACTAATTTAGACATTGGGCCCAAATCGAGACTAAAAAATATTATTTTAGAGGGAATATTAATTTATCGAGCATTAATTTACAGATGTTCTACTGGAGTTCGAAGCTTAAATTTTTGTTATAAAAATATTATCAAATTTATTGAACTAAATTAAAATCATTATTAAATTTATCTAATAGGATTGTGACATGTGTCATCATTTAATTAAATTTGTTGAATTAAATTAAAATTATGAACAAATTGATAGAATATAATGAAGATCAAATGATTTTAACTTGCTAATCAACTTCTCTCTTAAATGTTAACGACAAATGATTTGATTTGTATAATTTATATCATTAAATAACTTGATTGATAAAATTAATAGATCAATGATCATATTAAAATCTCTATAAAATTAAGTGGTCATTCATATAATTTACTCTATTTAATTTGAACTAGGAATATTATATGTTCATTTCCACTCGAATCTATTTGAACACGCTCTATGGACCAACTCGAATAGCCTGCCTAAAAACACTTGAGCATATGTAGATATGTCAATTCTACTCAATCTCAAAAGTCATATCCATATTTTAAGCGTATATTATTCTTCAATTTATAGATATAAAAGAATTTTAGTAGTTTAAATAGACATTGTATAAAAAAATAACTCTAAACTAAAAATAATACTTCTCATAATGATTTAATCTACAAAATTTATTTGGCTTAAACTTAAAATGATCGCGCGAACCAATTTACTTTAGTGGTCAAAGGAATCGTTATTGGTCTTAGATGTCACGGGTTCGAACTCCAATGATTGCAACAGGGTGATTTGCGTTCATTGTCAAATAGATAGCTTAATTGAAAAACGACCTAAATCCAAAAGTAACCCAAATTTAAGATCACATTAAAAAGTTTAAATCTAAGTTCAGTTGGTTTCGTTCCATTAATTTATAAAGTTTGAGAGAATAACTAATTACCACATTTATATATATTGGGCTAAGTATCCATTTGTTCACAAATATTGCAGTTGAAAGGGCTTATATTTTCTACTTTTTCCAATTCAAAATTTAGCCCAACCCAGTGATTAGTTTCCATAAAGATAATTGATATAAAAGAAAATGAATTTATTCTCCATATTCATTTTATCCTCTAGCTTTTTCTGTTTTTCATTCCATTTCCCACAGTTAATAGTTGCCTCTCAATATTAACTGTTTCCTTTCCCAGCATTTTCCCTACATTTTCTCCTTCATTAAAGCTGAAGCATCGTCTGACCTTGAGGTAATCTTTAATTTATTCATTTATTTTTAATTGTTTACTACTTTGATCTGCAATACCCATAATTTCTTTTCCTCAAATGTCAAAATTAATGAGGAAGTTGAACATGAAGTTGCTACTAAAAGTTTATTAATATTGTTTAGGAAAATTGGTACGAGGTAAATCGAGTGATATTATAATTGAATTAGATGATGGGTAGATTTTTTTTTTCGTTTGAAAAATGAATTATATTTTAGCTTAATAAATGGATGATGAATTTTGTTTTAGCTTGCTTTGATTGATAAAACAAGCTTTTGATATCTAATTTCAGCTGTTTGTTGTGTTGAATTTTTCACATCACTTAAAGAAATTACTGTATTTGTTTTGGAAACTAGATGGTGTATCAAGGAGATAGCTCAAAGGTTAGTATGGTTTAGTTCGTGCAACTATCTTATTTATGAGTGTCTGAATGTTGGCTAATGCTGGCTCTTTCTTTCAGTTGTTTTATATATAGAACGTGCCATGAGTGTGAACGAGGATCCTTCGGTTTCTGAAAAGAATAAAATGGAAGTGCCTGAAAGACATAAGCATGTTCCGAGTAGAGATGTCTTGCCTGGGAGCGATCATTGGGCAGATGGGCTGATTTGTGCTTTTGAGTTTGTTCGAGGCAATAAGAAACCGAGGAACTCAAGATATGGTTATAAGGTCCAAGGCAAACAATCGGATGATGAATATGTGAAAGAACAATTGGCAGCCAATAAACCAAATGAGGCTTCTTCTGAAGGATTGGATGGACAGAAATTAACGGAGTCCTCTTTCGGTTTAGAGCCAAGGGATCGTGCAGCTGCTGCTTTTGATGAATACAACACTGCACGTAGCCCTAGGTCAGACCCGTATCATGCTACTGAAAGATTTGATGGAAGTTGTTGGGTTCCCATCGGATGGGAAAGGATTTCAGATCTCGTGAAAAATGTGCAAGTCAATGGAGTCTGGGATTCACAACAGTTCGAATGGATGGATATTGAAGAGGGTTTAACTGTTGCAGATTTAGCAGCCGTATTGGAGCGACAGTGGCCCATATGGTGGTGCCATTTGTCTGCTGGTCACCCCACTGTCGACGCTTTTCTCAACAATGCCCAATGGTTACATCCTGCTGTCAGCCTAGCTTTGAGAGATGAAAGCAAACTGATAAGTGAGCGGATGAAGCATCTTCTGTACGAGGTAATAGTCTCCGACATTCTGTAAGTTAGGTTTATTGCATCCACTAACTCTTATTTTAACAAGTTGTAAGTTAAATTGAGTTACATACTATTTGATTCTCTCAAGTCTCCACTAAGTTCTGATAGAATATTAACTTCTTTTCTATTTGGTTCTGTCAAGTCTAGTTAAATGTTGATAGAATGTTAAATTGTAGCATTTCGAGATATATGTATGAAGAGAGTAAATAGTAGCATGTATACTTTGCTAATTTCTTTTAATGGCTGTTTCATACTGATATCCTACTTGATATCTGTTAAAACATGATAATTAGCATACGGGATATCAGATACGAGCACCTTAGTGACTCCTTTGTGGTCTTTGCTTTTGTTGGAGGATTGATCACTAATTTTACCATTTATAAAGGTCCCAGTTAGGGTGGCTGGAGGGCTGTTATTTGAGCTATTGGGACAATCAGCTGGAGATCCATATGTGGAGGAAGATGACATCCCTGTTGTACTCCGCTCATGGCAAGTGCAAAACTTCCTCCTAACTGTACTGCACATTAAAGGGAGTGTATCCGGTGTAAATGTTCTTGGAATAGCAGAAGTTCAGGTTGTTCGTTCTCGACAAACCCTAATTGACTCCATTGTGACAAAGTTGCTTTCATATAACACCCATACAATCTAACAGTTTCATGTGACTAAAAATCATTGCGTACATTCTGTTCAGGAGCTTCTTGCTGCTGGAGGTTATAACGTGCCCAGAACAGTTCATGACGTGATAGCATATCTAGCTAGCCGCCTTACACGGTGGGATGATAGGTACATATTAATTTTCATATTAGCTCCAATATCAAGATGTCTTTCCTTTAATGTGAATAGATGTGATGTCATCAGTCTCAGATGTAGACATATCAAATGCATGCCTGTCACGGTCTTTTTTCGATTCCAAGTGAGTTTTTTTTGTTTTCTAACCTACATATTGTTTGTTCAAACAAATGGATAAAACAGATATTGATACCCATTTTGCACCTTTAGCATTGTTACGTAGCAGCTGACCATTCTTAATGTTTCTCTTTCATTGAAACCATACCTATATCATCTTCCTGTATCATCGTATTGATTGGAATTTCAGAAAGTCTTGCATGAAGAAAAACTTTGGTTTCATCAATTCGAACATCATTGGAAGTAAAGTTGTCATTGTTGCATTTCAGTATGAAAGTAGATTATTTACATTTGATGCATTTATGCACAATTACGTGGCTTTTAAACTAATTTATGGGTTCTCTTCAATGATTTGAATTCATTAGGTTGTTTCGTAAATCGATCTTCGGGGAAGCAGATGAGATTGAATTGAAGTTTATGAACAGGTTCTTTACTTTTAAAATCATAGAAAACTCTCGTAACAAGGATTTTTCTGATTTTCATGCATAGGTAATTTATGAAAAATAGTTTTATCGTGTAGGAGAAACCAAGAGGACATGAATCTTTTTGCCATAATTTTGAACCAAGAAATCCGAAGATTGTCAAGACAGGTATGATGTATTCCTTCTCGATCAAAATCCATCTTCATAATTGAAAATTGATTATTACCATATATTACTCGGACTCTAGTGTTAGTGTCGGATACATTCAGTTTCTCTTAAAATTTTTCTATTGGAGGGTGATATTCTAATGCCTATATCTAAATATTTATCGAACATGGATGCTTTGAAAAATGAAGAGCGTGAGCAACATAGAGTACAATTGCGTGCTAATGTAAAATGTGAATATGAAGTTGGTTGAAAATACAAACGCTCTCAATTACTTTCAAGATAAAGCATAGTTGCTCAAACTTATTATGATAAGTATTTCTAGTTCTTTAACCCATAAATCAGCGTATTTTTCTTGCGAAATGGCTATAACTTGTAAACTTTACATTAAGCATGAACATCTAGAAATATTGTATAGTTTCTGCAGTAAATGTTAATGAATTTTGTGTTTGCGCCATTTCAGGTTATTAGAGTGAAATGGTCACTCCATGCAAGAGAAGAGATCGTTTTCGAGCTTACGCAACATTTGAGGGGGAATGCAGCAAGAAGCTTGCTGGAAGGAATACAAAAGAGCACAAGACAAATGATCGAAGAGCAAGAAGCAGTCCGTGACCGTTTGTTTACGATTCAAGATGTTATGCAAAGCACCGTACGTGCATGGTTGCAGGTTTGTATAAAAGAAGGGACAAAGTTCATTGATTTCGGAGCCCATCGTATCGTTCCAGAATGATTATACAACTATATTTGCCTAATACTGATTACACTAATGCAGGACAGAAGCCTTAGAGTAACACATAATTTAGCTGTTTTTGGTGGTTGTGGCCTTGTTCTTTCCATCATTGCCGGGCTCTTTGGAATCAATGTTGATGGGATCCCCGGATCACAGAATACGCCATATGCGTTTGGTTTGTTTACGGCCATCCTCATTGCATTAGGAATTGCACTAATCGTGATTGGTATGATTTATCTTGGATTAAAAGAGCCTGTAAATGAAGAGATGGTCCAAGTTAGGAAGCTAGAGTTAAATCAGCTGGTTAAAATGTTCAAACACGAAGCAGAAGCACATGCCCAGGTTCGTAAAAGTACTTATCGGAACAACTTGACTCCAACTACAGGAAATGGCTACCTTAATGAGGCCGATTATTTTCTCATCCAATAGCAATATGCGACTGCTCAAGTATTATAATGTATTCCAATTGTTAGCTTCAACAGTGCTAGCTATTGATTGCCAAAAGTTCCTTCGAAAGACGATCATTTTTGTACTCATAACACAGATGAACAAATGAAATACACAAAGTAATTACAATTACCATCATTTCTATCCCTGATTCCAAATGATTTATTTCTTTGTATGCAATGAGGTGGGGGGGGGGAATGAGATTATTTTTGCCATTATGTAGGGTCAGAACACAAATAGCATCAAGAAAGCAACCTTGTAATAATATCAATGTAACATCAGAAGAGTAATCAGTTCTGCACTCAGAACAGATCAATTATCCTAACCACATCAAATATTGTATCATTACAGAAAGATTTGTCGTCGAGCTTCTCTTGTTCGGTCTGGTTTGGTGTAAATACATTCATAGTTGTAAAAAGCGCGCCTGAGGCGCAAAAGCGCAGAGGTTCACCGGACGGGGCTTTTTCAACACTGAAGCGAGGCACGTAGCCTAGGCGCAGCGAGGCTCTGAGGCGCGAGGCTCAGTCGAGGAGCAATTGAGGCGCGATGTGGGCTTAAAACCTTGTAATTATTACTACAGGGCCTTCTCTTATATGCATACATGGTCTGCAAAATGAACGACTATTTTCGTTATGTTGTTTCAAACAAATAAGCTTTGAAATTGTTTTTGGTCCTTTCTTCACCTAAGTTTATTTATCTATCAGTATTTGATATTTTCTTTTCCGCTCATCAAAATTTGTGACAGTTTAAAAATTAAGCAAACCTATAATAGGAATGCATTGCGATTAACTGATGAAACTCGAAAAGAAAGGGTACTTCTATGTATTAGCATAGATTAAAAAGAATGTTTAATTAACTTAATGATTAATAACTAAGTGAAGGATATAAATCTATGATTTAAAAGTTTTGTGAGTATATATACTTAAATTATTCAAATTTTACTAAAATAATTAAATTTATTTATTTTGAAATCTAATTTAATTATTCTGAAATTTACATTATACTAATTTAAATAATAATATTTCACAGAACACAAATTTTAATATTAAATTTCAAAATAAACTTATCCTATCTTATCTTCATTTTAATTTTTTTAAAGAAAATATTTATTATTATTTGAATTTGATTTGTCTTTTAAGGCTCTAACTACTAAGAGTCTCCTTTTCTTATTTTTTCCTTCTCCTTTCTTATTTAAAAACCCTCAATCTATTGTCAATCGGCCTTCTAATCCATACATACTAATCTATCGATCGTTCGCTTCCTCCTTTTCTTCGACTGGAGACTGCGACGTTGAACAAGAAAGTAGCAACAATTCAATTAATCGATTCACACATTCAATTCTTCCCGTAAGTGATTATGTTCTTCGATTGATCTTTCTATTTATACTGTTAACCATCTGTGTTGAAAGAATTTTGTTTTTCTGAATCAAATTCTCTTGATAATCACCACAATTCGTGCGTATGTGTTTGTTCTTGTTTTTTTTTCTTTTCTTTTCTAAGTATACAGTTATTCGTAATTTCGTATGTATCTGTTCTTGTTTTTTTTTCCTTTTTTAAGTATGCAGTTATTCGTTTGCGTATGTGTCTGTTCTTGATAATCACAGTTTCTCTTATTTAATTTTCTGTTTTCATTTTTCTGGCTTCTGGGACAATATTGCATTTGTTAATCATCAATATTTTGCTTTTGGAAAATCTGATTTGACATTATGACTTCTGAAAATCAGTCATCAACTTCTTCAAAGCAAGATATAGCTTGGAAGTATTGCATTGACATGGGCAAAGGTAAAGTAAAATGTATGTTTTGTGACAAAATCACTTCCGGAGGTATTTATAGGGCTAAACAACATATAGTGGGTGAATACTGGAATAGTACAAGATGTCTAAAATGTCCAGCGCATGTACGCGAGGAGATTAGAGAATACATGGAGAAAAAGTGTCAAAATAAAAAGCGGAAGTTTTATATGATTTTGATGATAGACAACTTTGGGATGACGAGGATGATGAAGTTGGCACATGTGTTTGCAAAAGTGGTAATAGTACTAGTAAAGCATCAAAGAAGCAAAAGGGCATTAAAGGACCAATTGATATGCTTTTCACCCCATCACTCGAACAAGTTGTGAAAAACAGAAAAGATGGGAAAATGAAGCAACCAAGCATCAATGAAGCATGTAAAAGACAACTACGGGAGAAAGCATGTATGGAGTTGTCAAACTGGTTCTTTGATGCTGGATTGGCGTTTAATGCAGCAAATTATGATAGTTTTAAAGTAGCAATGGAAGCGGTGGCGCAATGTGGGACGGGTTTCAAACCTCCTACGTACCACGAAATCCGAGTTCCTTTTTTAACTAAAGCGGTTAAGGCAACCGATGAGATGGTGAAACAAGTACATCACGAGCATTGGCTAATATGGTTGCTCAATCATGTCAGATGGATGGAGAGACTCGATTGCACACAAGACATTATCAACTTTTTAGTCAATTCTCCAAAAGGGTCAGTTTTTATCAATCAATTGATGCTTCGGACATTGTGAAGAATACCGAACATTGTTTATTATGCTTGATGATATGGTTGAGGAGGTTGGTGAGAAGAATGTCGTTCAGGTGTAACCGACAATGCTTCTGCATATGTAGCAGCAGGTGATGAAACGTCCACATTAAATTATTATATTTGTATATATTTATAATTATATAAGACTTGAACTTTTATACTATTTTAATTTTTATATTTTTATAGGACGTTTATTGATGGTGAAACGTCCACATTTATACTGGACTCCATGTGCTGCTCATTTTCTTGATTTGATGCTTGAAGACATAGGAAAGATTTCAAAAATTCGTGTCACGTTGAGAGCAATGGCCTTAAACGGGTTTTATATAGCCGTACAGGTGTTGTAAACATGATGAGGAAGTTTACCGAGAAAAGAGAGTTGGTGAGACCCGCGATAACCAGATTTGCCACCGCTTACATCACTCTTCGTTCAATACAAGTTCAAAAGGCAAACCTTAGAAAGATGTTTACTTCTAATGAATGGAGGAAGAGTAAATACTCAAAAGCATGGCGGTAAAAGAGTCGCATCCATTGTTTTGATGCCTACCTTTTGGAGTACAATTGTGTATATCCTTAAGATGACGGGTCCTCTCGTAAAAGTGGTTAGTTGATGGTGAAAAAAGGCCGGCCATGGGCTATGTATATGAGGCCATGGATAGGGCAAAAGAAGCAATTGCAAACTCCTTTAATAATGTGGAAGACAAGTACAAAGATGTTTGCAATATTGACAAAAGGTGGGAATGTCAACTCCATCAACCATTACACGCGGCCGGGGTGTTATTTGAATCCTCAGTTATTCTACTCAAATCCCCAAATTCAGAGGATAAGGAGGTGATGATTGGGTTGCTAAATGCATTGAGATTAGTGCCGAGTGTTGTGATCAAGGTAAATAGAGGACCAATTGTCACTTTATAGGAACGCCGAATGTATATTTGGGATGGCAATATGCATACGTCAAAGAGAAGCAAAGTCACCAGGTTACTTTCTTTATACATATATAAAATAATATTAATTTAATTTAATTTTTTCTTGTTCTAAAATATATATTTACAGCCGAGTGGTGGGCTTCTTTTGGTAATGATGCACCGGAATTAAAAAAGTTTGCCATCAAAGTCCTCAACCTTACGTGTAGTGCAAGTGGTTGTGAGCGAAATTGGAGTATTTTTAGTCTCGTAAGTAACTCAGATATCATTTAAGAAACATCATAAGTAATGTTTTTGACTCTTGATTATTCTGTTATAATTTGGCAGCTTCATTACAAAAGAAAACCGACTTGCGCAAACTCCTCAATAATTTAGTCTATGTGAAATATAATCGAGCGTTAAAGCGGCGTTATAATCATCGTGATGTCATTGATCCAATCTCTTTGGATGACATTGATGAAAGTAACGAATGGATGAGGATGAAGAAGAAAATGAAGATTATGTGTTTGATGATGACGATTTGACATGGAAGGATGTTAGTATAGCTTCCGGAGCTTATGAGCGTGACCATAATACTAGAAGAAAGAATGTTTCTAGTTCAAGCTCGAAAGGAAAGGAAAAAGCTAGACCACACCTTGTAGATGAAGATGATGAAGTTGTTATGCTAGAGGAGAGTAACACTAAAGAAGAAGACATTGGGATTGTGAGACGGATAAGGAGGAAGATGATGATATACCACTTGACGATGATGATGAGGATTAGTTTGATGTTTGATGATGATTATTAATGACTTTATTTGATGTTTTGTTTTTGCATGTTGAATGTTTTTGTTAAACTTAGTACTTGATTATGCTTGTTGATAACTTTTATGACGTTAGGTTGGTATTTTGAATTTGAGAATAAACTCTATTGAAGCCTAATATTGGGTATCTATGATATTTGAGTTTGATTGCATTAATATATACATGTGTTACAATTTTTTGGATATCATGTGCCTCGCCTTCGTGAATCACGTGCCTTTCATGCGCCTCGCGCCTCAAGGCTCCTTTGATAACTTTGAATACATTACTGGAGGAGAGACCTAGTAAGATGTTCGAATGCCGTAGCCAATGCTTGGGTTATTGTCTGTAGAACACCAACGTTTTTTAATATGGCGGCAGTAATGATTCATATCTCAATGGTTAAAGAAATTCGCCTAGTTCTGCTTTATTATTTTTTTTGGGGGGGGGGGTTCAAGAATGACACTACCCATAGATTTAAGTAAAAAGTTCATATCTCAATGGTTAAAGAAATTCGCCTAGTTCTGCTTTATTATTTTTTTTGGGGGGGGGGGTTCAAGAATGACACTACCCATAGATTTAAGTAAAAAGTCAAACATAAATGACACTACCCATAGATTTAAGTAAAAAGTCAAACACAGTGGTCGAAGAAGCATAGCAAGGGGACAGTTGCTTCTAGTGACTCGTGGCTAGTCTACCTTTTCACTTGATTCTATACCCTAATTTCTATCATTTTCTTTCACAAACAAATAATAAGTGAATTAAACCCCTAATACTAATCTCGGTTTGAGCCAACCATATGTTTAACCTAGAGTATTTGGGGGATGAGGAGAATTAAGAGACATTCCCATCCAAGAACTGTGGCAGAGATGATTTAAAGAAACAAACGAGCAAAGAAAATGTCTACTCAAGAGATTCATGAAACGGAATTCCTTGATCTTCAACTATACTAATACAATGAATGGTAAATCATACCCACCATCGACAATCTCATCAAGGCACAACAGAATAAGATCCAAGTTCTCCAATGCCTTCCTTCTTGTCCTCATTGCCTCTGGAACAAAGGGTAGCGAAAGCAAGGGGAAAGATGCTCAAGTTAATAATATCAAACACAAATGCATAAAAAAGATCGTAATGGTAGAAAGTAAGATAAATAACCTAAGGAGAAATCCAACTGCATCAAAAAAAACCCTGGAGTACTGTGGCCAAGATGATCTCATTTTCATCTTCACCTCCAGAAACAAAAAAGTGAAGGTCTTGAACGAACTTGTGCATGACGACATAGTTGCCAAACATTGTTATTTCAGCTGTAAAGATAAACAAAAGCAAAAATGTCAAAATATGAAACAACACCTAAACCAATGCCAACCAAGAATGTCTTACTTGGATGTGGGGGTGAATATCAAATATAGGTATGTGTCCAAGCATGTTCACCTTTTTTCCTTCTAAAGAACACATATGTAAAGGATGATATTCCCATAACCATATTCGAATATGTTGGAAATAGGTTATTAAAGAAAAATGAGGTCTCGCTGACTCGGAGTAACATATTTTTCATCGACTTAGGAAAATGAAAAAAGGAAAACAATGTCTAGAACAATATATCCAAGGTAAACCCTTTATGCACAAGAAAAGAACCTTTCAAATTCTCAAATTTTAATGAACTGATTCACTCCCTCACTCACCAATCACCATTTATCTGCCTTTTATAAATCCACACGATCTAAATATACACAAGGAATTAAACTAAATGTAATGAAGCATCAACAGAGATAAACAAATCTACCTTCGGTTCAAGCATTAGTCTTCTGGTTTTTGGTAAACACAGCTTTTTCAAGGCTTCCTTAGCAGAATTCGTCGGCCAGTCATCTGAATAATACTTAACAGCTATACGTTTCCGTTCGGAATCCAAAAGAAGAACGTTCTTAATTGAAGGGCACAACTCCTATAAACAAGAAGAATAAGATCAATGAATCCTTCAAATACACTAATTTCAAGTTAAAATACTTTTTTAGCACTGAAGTTTAAGTTAAAGCCTTCGATTCGATTGGATCTGAACCTAACTGTAAGTTAAATTAAAAAAATGAGGCATCTAAATTTAGATCTGCCTTAGAGATAACTAAATATAGCTAAAGCAGATCTTGAAAACACAAATTAGAAAGAAACAAAAGAAAATCTCGTAGGTTCGTGTAATGCGAAATTGAAAGAGTGTGTAATTGAAAGAGAGAAAGAAGGCTAACCATTTCTTCTTCTTCTTTTCCCTTTCGTTTGGCGAGATTTTCTCGGAAATTATCGGGATTTTCGTTTGACAAATTCACTCTTTCTGAAATGCGGCTGTCACTACAGATATAAGGACGAGGATAGATTGTAATTGGTATAAATAATTACCACCAAAATCAATATTCATTATAAATTTAATTCTTCCAATTCTATTTATTCCATCACAAAACTAAATCTCGAGTTATATTTGGTTAGATTAATGTTTTAAGGGTTGATTATGTATAAAGTTTAATATGAGAGAAAGCGTACTGAAAAAGTTTAGACTACTCTTTTAAGGGTTGATTTATCAACGTATCAACATACTTTAATGATTAAAATAATATTACTCTTTTTAAAAAAAATAAATTTGAGTAATAATATTTATAGAATATAAGTACATTGTTAATGATTATGAAAAATTATATACATATTATCATGTAATCTGTTAAAAAAGAAATAAAGATTAATATTTCATGCTACTTGAGTGAGATCAATAATAATATAGTGTTATTTTTTCAAGAATTTTTTTTTGAATAATTATGTCTATAGAGTGTATATATTATCAATAGCTGATTTTTTTTTAAAGAAATATTATGTTTAGTAGTGTTATTAATAGTGGTATTAATTAAAAATGTTGATTCTACGAACCAAACAACCTTAGTGGTTAAAGAGATGATTGTTATTCCTTGAGGTTTCGGGTTTGAGTACCAACAATTATAGAATATTTGAATATTCATTATAAAATAGTTGAAAATATTTAAAATAAATGTCACCCTTTATAATCATCCTAGATTAATAGAAAATATTAATTTAATTTTTATTGCCATTAATTTCTCCCCTAAAGTATAATATTTTTCAAAAAAAAAATTAATCAATTACTCTGAAACTACAATATATGTTATAAAATTTAACAATAAATTTAATTTCTAACATTAATTCATTTTTTCACTTTAGTCTTAATTTTTCTTTCTCTTTTGATGTTTATTTTTCTAATTTAATTATCATTTAAAGTTTTTAGTGATATTGATTTGATAGATCATTTAATAATTCATACATATTCAATTAAAATTTTAACAATTTATTTGAATCTATTGAATCGTCTCAATGATAAAAAAATATTATTTTATTTAAAGAATTTAAATTCGAGTACATGCAATTATATAACACGTGTGCATTATCTATAAATTAAAATACTAGTTAAATTTAATCAGAGTTAATTATATCACATTTCTTCAAATTATAACCCTCATTTTAAATTAGTTTTTAAACTTTTGAACATTCTAATTTTATCCCTAAATTGTGACTCTCATTTTTAGTTAGTCCTTAAACTTTTAAATATTCTAATTAATTCCTTAAACTACGACCCTCTTTCTAAATTGGTCGCCAAACTTTTGATTATTCTAATATCATCCCCAAATTCACCCAAATATGTAACTAGTTTCAACCATATTTTAACCTAAATTTTGTTTTCTTTTCCAAAAATATAATAATATAACTTGGCCTAACAGTTTTATTAACAAGGGATGTGATTGGTATATAGTATAGTTTGGAATGAAATTGAAATGTTCAAAAAGTTTAGGGGACCAATTTAGAAAGATGGTCATAGTTTAGGGATGGAATTAGAATATTCAAATGTTTAAGGATTAATTTTAAATGAGAGTCATAGTTTGGGGATGAAATTGGAATGTTCAAAAGTTTAATTACCAATTTTAAAAGAGGGTTATACTTTGAGGACATGTGATGCAATTAACTCACCTAATCAATTGATTTATGGTTTAATATGTTTGAAATTATATACTCTGGTTTTTAGGGATAAAAATTCGATCGAACCAAGTCAAAAAAGTTTGAGTTATTTGAGTTGATGAGTCGTACTCTATGACTCAAACTTAACTTATTTTTTTTTCGATTCGAGTTTAAAAAGTTTGAGTCGAGTTATTCAAATTGCTATAGAAATTTTATTATAATTATTTACATTATTATGTTAAGGATTGATTCCAAATTTTCGACTTTCTCTAACCATATAATAATATATATATATATATATATATATATATATATATTTCTTTATATTCTTTTTATATTTTAATGTTATTTAATATATCAAATACAATCTAAACTTATAATATATATTTACAACATTATTAAAAATGTCAAAATACTCTCAAAATTTCATTTTTTAAGTAACTCAAATTTTTTAAATTTTAACTTGACTCAAACTCGAAAACTGAATTGATAATTTGAGTTGACTCGAATAATTTGACTCAAATAACTCAAAATTAAAAATAAAATTTTGAGTCGAGTCGAGTTTTGCTCACCCTTACTTGTTTGAATAAATTCAAAAATATTAAATTTAATCAAATAAACTGGGGTAAACTATACAAATAATCTCCTTTGTTTTCAATATGATTGATTTTTTCTTTGATTAAAAAATTAAATGTGTTTGGTATGTTACATTATCGATCTGTTCAATTTTAATCCCTCAACCATTAGATGCCGTTAACACCTTAACATAAATATTACGTGACAATTAAAAATTTCAAAAAAATCATAAAATTGAAATAAAAACTAAAAAAACCAACTTGCACGTCTTCTTCTTTTTCTTAAAAAAAATCATATTGTTTGTCTTCTACTTCTTTTTTTTCTTCTTCTCAGACTTTGTTAATAGGTTAACGGTCAATGGATTTACATCGAACTAATACTTCACAACTAATAATGTAAGAGACCAAACGTTTTTAACTTTTAAACAAAAGGGTTATTCGTATAGTTCACCCAACAAACTAATACTTCACATAATCATATCATCTCTCATTTCATGCTTTCCCCATCCCTTCCTCTACCCCTTCATTGTCCGTCATATTTCACCATCATTTTCACCGCCTTCCTCTTCTACTGCCGGGCACGGGGAACCTACATTTTCTTGGTTTTTGGCAAATATCCCACATTGATTTTGTATAAGGAGGAGGGGAAATTATTTTGTTATAAATAGAGCCCTCCTCCTTTTTAGTTAAGCATCACAAAAATATAAGTTTTCTTCTATATTAAAGGCTATTTATATTCTTTCTTTCTCTTTGTAATATTTCCTCCACTAGTGAAATATTATTTTAGTAGTGTTCGAGGAGGTAGGCATAATTTTGGCCTAACCTCGTTAAATTTTGGTGTTCTCTTTATGTCTATTTAATAGCTATTGTCGGGTATAGTTGTTGTTAATTATTGTCCTATTAAAATTACTTGTCTTGGTAGTTTTGTATAAGGAAAGTGGGTTTTAAGAGGGACCATTGTGACCCCTCCTCTTTCCTGGGAATCTACCTTGGTGTGATTTTTAGTACAATCGTTTTCACACTAGTCACCTAGATAATAGTTTTCAAGGTGAATTTGTTATTATTGGTGGAAATTAACCCGAATTCCACAACAATTGGTATAAGAGCTCTTGGTTTATTTTAGTATGCTCTGTGGTTGCGGCTTAGGCTGATCTTCCACATCAAAAAAATTTTCTTGGGATAATTGGCATTCCGCATTGACAGCTATTAAATATAATTTGTAGCAGAAATGGCGGACGCAACAAAAACGTCCACATCGTCGTCAACAGCTGTGACAAATGTTAGATTTGCAGTGGAGATTTTTGATGGCATCATCCATTTCGGCATGTGGCAAAGTGAGGTTCTAGATGCCCTATTTCAGCAGGGTCTAGACATTGCTATTGAAGGAGAGAAACCAGATGATGTTGAGGAGAAAGAATGGAAGAGGATCAATAGATTGGAATATGGTACTATTCGATCGTGTCTTTCTAGAGAGAAGAAGTATGCATTTTCTAAGGAAACTTCTGCAAGTAAATTGTGGAAGGCACTGGAGGAGAATTTTTTGAAGAAAAGTAGTCAGAACAAGATCTACATGAAAAAGAGATTGTTCCGCTTCAACTATGTACCAGGTACCACTATGAATGATCACATTACTAGCTTTAATCAGCTGATGACTGATCTGATGAATATGGACGTGACTTTTGAAGATGAAGATCTGGCTCTGATGTTGATAGGAT